AAAGCTTTGGAAACTGAATGGAACAGGAAGCATGATGGGCTAGATTTTAAGAATTATTTAGATGCCTAACATGTGGATAAGTACCTAGTTAGATTTTCATAAGTGTTTACACATGCAGTTTCCATGGTGCTTCTCCAAATCCCATTAGGTTTAAACCAGTTTCTGATCACTTAAACTGGTTTATGTGTAATGTCTGTCCCGATCCTGTGGGACAATGGGCAACATCTATTTCACCCTATGAAGTGGATCATCTGAGCCAGGACACATATTGGCACAGCTGACACAATTCATTTGGCAATGTCTGTTTGTAGCCATGATCTCAGAAAGTATTTATTGTATTATCAGTTTAATAACACATTGATCATTTTGTTTTCTGCCACTTGGGGGTGCTCCCACACAGCGCTTACAGAAGAAGGAGGAGGCAAGAGATTTGCACTGTCAGTTAGGAATTGTTCATTTCAGGGTCTTAGTGTTCTGACTTGAAAGCAATAGCCAGGAAGTGGGAACAGATGAGTGCCTAGGTCAGACTTAAACCAGATTCTTTACAGCCCTGAAATTCAACCACCAGTTTAATTTGCATGGTAGGTTCTACTGGAGCAACTGAGGTAGGGAGATCTGAACAGTTTTCTTCACAGGGTCAAGAGAGTACAATGTGTGTCATGTAAAACTCTGTCATACACCCTCTTAAGTCACTATGTCTCGTGCCCTCCCCACTTGCTGTATCCTGATCCTATGAGTCAGGGAAATAGGGTACAGAGCAGCAGAGCTATTTCATTCCAGTTACCACAAGGCCAGAGTGAGGGTCACACAAAGAGGCCTCTTTTTATGTGTGAACAACAAGGGAACAATCAGGGCCCAGGAATCTGTTGCATTACTTGGACTAGTTTTTATAATTCCCACTTTCCTCAATGGGTTAATTGCTTTACTTATCTCTTTTGATTTCTTCAGTGTACCCTCACCTCTCTCAGAAGTGGCCCTCTTCCCATATCCTTTATATTTAAAGAGATTACAAGTAGTTAGCCCTGTTTGCATCTCACTGCACCAAAGGAGAGGGAGAAAAACTGTTTAATTTTCAAGAAAACCATGCCATGAAATGAAAATGAAAGAAAGGTTAGAAATGTCACTGTGTCCCCTATGGACATCTTACCCTGTAAATTATTTTTAAAAAATAACGAGAGGATGGAAGGAGACTTTTAGAACTGCAAGTGAAACAAGGCAAAGAGACATGGGACAAAGGTTAAATCAGGTAGCCAGCTAGGAAAGAGTTAGCCCAAAGGTCCTTAGAGTCTGACTCTTTGTAAGAGCTTACCTGTGGTCTGATCATTCAGGTCAGATACATGCAAAAGGGACAAGACTTTTCTAATCTGTGAATTGGATGGAGGCTATGGCAACTAGCAACTATGTTCTTTTCAAAGAAATGTGCTTGAACTGGACAAACTCTAGATTAAGTAATTAGCAGTTAAGTAACAGATAAAGTAGAGTAAAGCTTTTTGTGTAAATATAAGGTCTTTCACGATGAGCCACTTCTTTTAAGAACAATTCGATTGACTCAAGTGGAGTTAGCTAGGGTATGTTTGCCAATGCAAAGTAATTATGTTGAATACAAAGAGGTAGCTCTTTCTGCACACTTTTAACTGGTGTGCCTGCTGTCGAATTAAGTGCTATTGTGGTTACAACTTTTCCCCAGAAGATGTCACTGTAAGGCAGCCTGTAGATTCACTGTCCTGGGCACAACACCAGTATAAATTCCAACAGACTCCAGGCACTTTCACTCATTTTTGACTACAGAAAATTAATAGACCAATTATTCTGTTGCAAGGAATTCAGAAAGACCAGGTCAGGTCAGCATGTTTTTTGACATTACAAATTCGTATCTGAAATCTAACAATGCTGATACTGCACACCAGGGCTGTGCGAGGCTTTGGACAGAGTTTCGGATCCAGAGAAGATTCGGATGCTTTGGCATCTGCAGCAGCATGTCCGGTTTGAAGCACTGGCTTGTTTAGGCTTTCCAAAGCGGTTTGGAGCTGCCAAAGTGCTTCACAAAAGCTCTGGAGCCACTTCGGAGATCCGGCCATAGGGTATAATGGGTGTCACAGGGCGGGGCGCCGGGGCGGCCGTGATCCCCCTGGCGCCCCTACCGTGCCACAGTCTGGGTCCTAAATGCACCCTCCGTCTCACCCGCCACATCTTTGATCTTATGATTATCAGTGGGAGGCTGCCTTCCATCCCCTTGGGCACGGCGCTCTCATACTGGCCCTACTCTGAACTGGTGCACCCCACCTTATGGGCTACGCGTGCCTCCTACCTCCCCTGTAGCATGCCCCAAGCCTCACGGTTGTACCGGAGGTTCTTATGCCTATATGCTTGCCCATCTCTGGGCCTGTCCCGCGCTTCTCGCGCTCGTCGCCCTCTCTGGGCCTGTCCCATGCTTCTCGCACTCAGGGCTCAGGTGGCCTGCTGCCGTGCCTGGCCCCCTAACCCTTCTCAGCGTCCTTCAACTGCACACTCTGTCCTCTTCAGGCTTCTCACAGTGCGCTCTGTCCTTCTCCAGACTTTTCACCGTGCGCTTGTCCCTACTCTGGACTGTAAACCGCGTGCCTCGTGCTCGTCGCCCTCTCTGGGCCTGTCCCACGCTTCTCGCGCTCGTCGCCCTCTCTGGGCCTGTCCCGCGCTTCTCGCGCTCGTCACCCTCTCTGGGCCTGTCCCGCGCTTCTCGCGCCTGGGGCTCAGGTGGCCCATAGCCGTGCCTGGCCCCCTGACCCTTCTCGGGGTCCTACGCCCTACTGGGCAAGTACCGCCCTCATGGGCTGGGGCTTAATACCCCACATGCAGCGCCACACCGGCACCAAACAGCCATGCCTCCCAGGCACTGCTTGCTGTGCCCCAAACAGGGCACCCAGAAACTCCCAGACTCCTGGGGAGCTCCCGTGAGGCCTCCTCGCACCCCTACTGCCTCACCCGGTCCTCCGGTATAACATAAACAAACACAACCATGAGCCAACTGGCTCTAACATAAACTAAGCCTCCTGGCTCTAACGTAACTCTAAGCCAACCCGGGTGTAACCCCAAAATGAGCCTTGTGGCTACAACATACATCCGCCGCCACCCTGGCCCTCTTCTAGTACCTCCCCGCCAGGGTTCTCTCTACCCCGCATCATCATGCAGGCAGTCAGGCTGCCCTACTTTGCTTGGCTCAACTCAGCTCTGCTCTGCTCATCTCTGCTCGGGTCTGCTACATAGCTCCGGCTCCTCAGGCTGACAGAAGGGCACTGACCCTGGCCTCAGCCGTCTCTGTTTATAAAGGCCAGGCCCTGCCCCTTGGCAGTCAGCTGACCCAATCTGTTGTGTAAGCAACCTTCAGCTGTGCTGCCCTGCTGATTGGCAGCTAAGCCCTATTACCAATGCTAGTAGCAGGCACCCTAGTGTCCTGCTACAATGGGGAATCAATGAAATATCTATAACATTGTTGTTTTTTGTCTGATTTGCATGAGATTTGCAGGAATTGTAGACTCTGATGAGAGCATGAAGTCTGCCAAGTTTCAAGGAGATCAGTGCTGGGGTTCAGGGGAAATTGCACCTCAAATTCTTGAAAGCAAAACTGATGTCACGTGTATGTGTTACATCACAGGGGGACAAAAAGCTGCAGGCATAGTAGCCCCTGTTGAGGCCACAAAGCCTGTCAAGTTTCAGGAAGATCAGTGCAGGGGGTTGGGGAGAACTACACCTCAAATTCTTGAAAGCAAACCGCATGTCACATCTATGTGTTACACCACAGGGGGGTCAAAACTGCAGGGATGCTGGCTCCTGCTGAGGCCACAAAGTCTGCCAAGTTTCAAGAAGATCAGTGCAGGGGTTTGGGGGGAACTGCACCTCAAGCTGCAGACAAGCAAAACTCGTGCCATGGGTAACACTGTGTGTGTTAAGGTGCAGGAGGGTGAAAGCTGCAGGGATGGCAGCCCCTGCTGTGGCCATGAAGCCTGCCAGCTGTATTTACTACAAGTATTTAAAATCAAGTCAAGAGAGCACAAACCAAATCGAAGTCTAGTAATTAGCTATAAGGTTATGATTTCTCACCAAACAGGTAATGAAGAGGCAGCCTGTTTCTCTTCAACTTCTCAAGTAAGTTGGGCACATCAGCAACTGGGGTCGGAGAGATTTCTCACTCTTGAAGCATGCACGCTGTTTGCTTTTTACTGCCTTTTTGTACCCTTAATTTAGCATCTTCAAAGAATTCTTTTAGTTGTGTAAATCAAGAGAGTCCCAAGCAGTAATTGATGGGAAAACCCTATTAATTAACCTGCTCATCACTGGTTATCAGAAATTACTAATTTGAATGAGTTACCTTCTTCAGTAACAAGAGGTTATCCAGTTTAGAACATATCAAGAAACTGATTAACAGCCAGGAAAGACATACTAAATTAGGAGGAGACTTCTATCACATATGGAGAATATCTGTTCCTGCACATAAACCTGAGTTAATTGCAAAATAAATATTTACCATACTAATTAATCAAGGATAGACATTTCATATGGTTACACACCAGACAACTAGGAGTCTGCCTGAAATCATCCTGAATACACCAAGATAAGCTGAAGAAATACCTCATTATTATTATTATTATTTTTCTCAGATGGCCTAGCCATGAACTCTTATCCTCTTGCAATATGCAGTTACCATCAGTATTCTGTATTTAAACTTTTGTGAGTAGGCCCGAGCTTAGCATAATTTTCAGAGTCATCACCAGCCCACAGGCCAGCCTCATGATGACCCTCATCCAGCCCACAGGACTGGATGAGTTTGATACCCCTGCATTATACATTTTCAACACATTGTCTGTTTAAAAAATAAAACCAACTGGCCACATATAATGCTGACTGGTCTGCAGCTTGTCTTCTCTTATTTTTCCTTACTATTAAAAACAGAATCTATAAAGGAAAAAATCCTGTTGCATTATATCATCCATGTCCCGGAGAACGGGGTGACGCCGGCGACTCACCTGTGGCAGGGAACGACGCTCCCGGGAAACCCACATGGCTCGTGAGCCGGCTTTATGTACAGCTGCGGCCGGCCGGTGACGTCAGCACCAGACACTGACCGGCGAAGATAAAAATGACAGCAGCTGTGGCGGAAGGGGCGGATGGCCCCGGAGAAGGGAAGCAGCCGGCAGCGTGGGAGGAACATGGTCCCCGACGGCGTCCCAAGGGGATTAGAGAGCCAGAGCCAGGAGCTCCAGGGAAAGAGAGCCAGCAGCAGTCTCCAGCAACTGGCGGAGAGCGAGTGGGGCTTGACCAGGATGTCGGGGAGTGGGAGCAGCCACAGAGAACACGCAGGACCCAGGTGAATGACCGACTCGGAAGACAGCCGAGGACCCGGATGTGGGGTCGTGATCGGGGCAAGATCACCATCCGGACTGCGGAAGCAGGGTCAGACTGGGCTTAGAGCACTAGGGACAGGGGCCAGGAGCCAACCCTGTATTCAGAGGGGCTCAACCCTAGACGTGTAAGGGACGGGGGCCAGGGAGGAAGCTGGATTGGCGCGACGGGCCACAAGACTCCGCTGAGTTGGCTCAGGGAGGTGGTGTGAGGCCAGGGTGCAGGGGTGGTGGAGCCCCATGTACATCCGCCGGGTCGGACCTGGGCAGCGAGGGACCTGCTAGGCGACCCCCCATTGACAGGACATCAAGACGTGGCAGACAAGAACAGGATCGGCGACATGGGGAAAGAACGACCTCATTGCCTTTAAGGGCCCTAAGGCTCAGCTGCAACATCAGAGCCGTATTCTTGGGGTAAATAAAGCCCGGCGGGCACAATCCAGATCATTTAGGTTTCCCCCACCTTGGGATCATAAGTCCTGGGAAGCCTGCCAGCAAGATCTTGCACAAAATCAGGATTTTATATTTTTTTATCACCTTTATTGTATCAGAGTCACAAGTCAAAGTACTGTGTGGCCTAATGTTGTCACCATTATTCATTTAAGTAATCACTACTGATTATTACTCATATAAGAAGTTTCTCAGCACAGAATGAAAGAAGTTGCTCAGTGCAAGATGAGGATTTTAGTGTGTAATATTTGTTCCTTTGTGGTGTATTTGTGCAAACATACAAAAGACAACAATGACATCCAGAGTCTTACCGCAAGGGAGACTGAAGAAAACAAATAGAGACATCACATCTTCAGCATTTGGAAACAGGACATAATAGATGGCATTCTGCTAAATCACCATCTTAAAAGATGCAGGAAGTGTGGCATTATATTTGTTCAGTGATAATATACTCCTTTACAAGGAACTGACAAGCTTTTTAAAAAATCCAGATGAATCAAGATGTCTGGGCAACATGTTTACAAAGTCTTTACATGGCTAGTCAGACTGAACTGGTGCACAGCTAACTGTTCATCTGACCTTTTCCATAACGTACTGGGCATTTTCTTTTCCAAATGTTCCTATATACATGTTTTTCATAATACAGTCAGGCCTTTTATAAATTATGCCTCCCCTTTCAAAAACAAACAGGAGATAATCGCTTCAGTCGTTCACAAGATTTCTGATGGGTCTAGGAATGCAACAGTTGAATTAAGAGAATGGTAGTGAAGTAGAGTGTGAGATACTGATGCAATGAGGTAGTTAAAAATGTTAGCTTTGCCTCATCAAAGTTATGCTAAGTCAGTGCAATAAACCAAAGTGACAAGCTGTCACTTACATGAGTAACTTTAACTCACTGGAATTACATGAGTCTCCTCAGCTAGGAACTGACATTCAAAAAGCCTGAGCCTGAATTGAGTCAATCTGTGCAGATTAGTCTAACCTGGCTAAGCTGAATCAGTCTGTAACCATACAGACATCCCCTCTGGACTGAAAAATGCAGGCACATGTCTGCAGTGGCTCAGGCTAGAAGCTTGGGGGAGGGGGATGCTAGCGCAGCCCTCCCTTCCCTTCCACAATGCTGAGCTGAGGGGGGAGAGGGCCCCAGCCAGACACTTTGATTAGGGAGAGGTGTCCCCTTGCTCATCAGCCAGGGAGCCAGCGGGGATTTAGTTACACAGCAGGGAGCATTTATCACCCCATTAGCAAACAAAAGGATCTCTCATTAATTCAAGCTCTTCTTAAACAATTTGTTCCAAAGAAGGAACAGAGGGACATTACCAGCTACCTGTTGATTAGCTCCAAGCCCTAAGTGGCACTGTCCTGTCTGCTTTGTCTCCCACACCACAGACTGTAGACAGCATGTGGTATGCTCGCTAATGCTGAGAGGTGTCTGTGTAAAACAGAGGGGAGGAAGGAATCCTTGCTTCAGCAGGGAGTGGGTGGGAGGGGGTTGAGCAGGAGGCGGGCAGGCAGATGCTCTGGAGTCTGGGACACATTTTGTAAACTGGTTTGACCCAAATCAGTTAAGTCTTATACTATATTAAACCAGGTTTATCTCAAAACTGGTTTCAGCCATTTTCAAACTGGTTTATGTGCACTGAACATCCGTTCTGTTACAGATTTAAACTAGTTTCTGATCACTTAAACTGCCTTATGTGTAATGTCTGTCCCTAGCCCTCATGTGAACAAGGACTTATGAAATAGGACTCACAATACATGGGATGACCCCTGTCAGGGAATTCAGGCCCAGTTTTGCAAACCCTTACAAATATTTGCTGTCCTTAAACAGAAAAGTAATCCCATTATAGCAATCCCTTTATTTAAGGGTAAGGCCTACTCTAGTGAGCAAGGATTTGAAAATCCCTGTCTTATATCCTATTGTAGTATGAATTTTTTGCGTATTAGTTGATTTTTTCTTTTATGAACAACTAAAACCCCATTTTGTGCTTGTTCCCTGCTTGGCATGAGTAATTTAACTTTGTATGCCCTGTGTACTTGAGAGTCTATGTGAAAGGCTGAATGGTGAAAGAATGGGAATTTTTGCATGAAAACAAAAGAAGATGATTTAACGGTTTGTGTAAGCAACAAGGTGCCAATGTATGAGTTACAACTAATTAATGGATGGCTGAAGAACTCATCTGTGATCAGATGCAAAAGGAGATAGTGAGAAGAAGGAATTCTGCATGTCCTGCCATTTGATCTACACAATGATCTGTTGAGGTCCCTTCCAACCCTAGCATCTATGAATCTATGAATGATTCAAGGCTGAGATACCAGTCCTGAGATACTGACTTTACTGGAATGACCTCAAACTGATATAACCAGAAGATGGGTAAGAAACAACCTCTAATTAAAAACTGAGCATGGAAAAACCCCAATGCTGAACAAAGGCTTGAAATCCCTATAAAAGTGGGATGCAGACAAGCCATGATGGGGAATCCACTCTCTGCAACCTCCTGAAGCACAGGCACATCTGTTCACCTCCCGCTCCCATCACCCTCAATGAGCCTGGGCTGGCCACCCAGTGCTAACATTGAGCAATCTCTGCTGGTAATTATAACATCTTACTGGAGTGGTTTTGTCTGTCTGTCTGCCTATGTCTGTTTGTATGTATGCTTGTGTGTGTCTGTTTGTATGACTGGTGTGTTCAAGCTTATGTATCTGCTTCATGTAATCAGTAAATGCGGCATTTTGCCTTATCCCCCTATATAAGGTCTTGCTCTTGATTTGAGCAATTGACAATTTAAAGTAACACTATCATACCAAAGGGATGGCTCTAACAGATCTTTTTCTTATCATAATTTATATGGTCCCTATTGTTGAATAAGGTCTCTGGCATTGTTACATTTAAAAGTCAGGCAAATTTGTTTTATCTTGGGTCATGCATATCAGATCAACATTGCTGGAAGGTGAACACAAAGGACATACAGTTTCAGCTCAATAGCCACATGGTTTGACAGTTCAACTCAGATGCCCAGCTGCACTCCAAACATTAAAATAAAGTGTCTGTAAGATTATAATTCACATGTATCACATGTATCACACTTTTATATTATTTAAAGGAGCTGTTAAATTGTATTAATCTTTCAAAAGTGAAAGAGATGCTTTATTACAGCAGTAAGATTAATCACTAATGTCACAGTACTGTCATTAAAATGAATTTTGCTTTTAATATTAAGAATTATATTCCTCTGAGGCACATTTTTAAATAAACCTACTACTACTACTGAAATGTAACATACTCATCTCAATAAACATCATTATGGTTAGTACTGAATCATGTTACGGCTCATTTGAAAAGAATCAAAAAGCATCATGTTCATTGACGTTAGCATTACTAGTATGTTTTGTATTTATAAGCCATTTCATGTCAGGAGATTTGTGTGATGCTATGTAGAATGAGGATAAATTATATTTATCCCCATTAGAATTGTACTTCAACACCTATGAAAGAAAATATGTCTATAAATGGTAGACAAGGTTATTTGGGTAAATGTGATATCTTTTATTAGACCAACAGAATAGTTAGAAAATTGTTCTTTGTAAGCCTTCAGACACAGGTGCCCTTCCTCAGGCATAGGGAGAGTTTGCTGGTCTGTGGGTGCATCTACATATGAGCTTTAATGCACAGTAGTCTATTCTACTGCACATTAAAGCAGCGCAATAGAAGCCGTGCTAATACGCTAGTGCACAGTAGAATAGGAGTTAGTTGGTGTAAGAAAAGTTGGTGGGGAAAAAAAACCCAAAAGAAAGGAATATCAACAGGTGATAAAATGCAGCTCTAAAATATAGAGACGTTACCTGGGGTTATCAGATGGCAGGCAGGTTATAATGTACCATGACTCCAATGTCTATATTTAGTCCATGATTTTTGTATCCAGTAGATTTATGAAAAGAAGTTCATAGATTTGTCCATGAAAGGTGCTTTGTCAATTCTCTTTCAGGATTAGAAACGAGAGATTGGAGAGAGAGTGGTTATCTTGTGAGAAATGTGCACTCACAGATAACTGGGTATTTTTGTCTTTGATAGATTTTCAGTGTGCATTCATTCTGGTGCACAGTTGTTTGGTTTCTCCTATGTAGTTTCTATGAGGGCATTTAGTGTGCTGGATGAGATATATTACATTTCTGGAGATGCAGCTGTAAGACCCAGGAATAATGATGGTTCTGCTGTGGGGCATAGTTATTGTGGGAGTGGTGGAGAGCTGTTGGCAGGTTTTTCATTTCTTGTTGTGGCATGGTCTGGATCCATTCGCAGTGCTTTGGCCCATTGGAAGTTTGCTTCTGGGATGAGGTTGGTGTGGTTTGGTGCCTGGTTAAAATCTAAGATGAGTGGTTCTGGAAAGATCTCCTTAACAATTGGGTCTTCTTCTAGTATGGGTTGCAATTGTTTGAGGATTTTCTATATAGGTTCCAGGGAAGGGTGGCATGTCAAAACTAATGGTGTGCAATTCCTGGGGATTTTTTTTTGTACTGCAGCAATTCTTCATATGGTATCCAGGTGATTCTTTTGTGATGATTTTCATTTGTGTGGTGACAATCTATAAATGGTATGCATTATTGGTATTTTATTTACATTTATCACTTTTACATATTTCCATTAGTGTTACAGATCTGTTCATTACTATTATGTTAAACAAAAGAACAGCAAAAGCAACTTACACTAATGATAATTAAATTACTGATTAATGATACTGTTACAATATAACTGAAGTTATGGGCTAGCTACCATACTGTGTTAAAGTTCACGTAACAAAGGAAGAATGACATGAACAGGAAAAAAGAAATATTCTTTTTTCTAAATTAAGAAAAACTACTGTATTTCTTTTATTTGTTCCAGACTGCATAATAATGGAGTAAGCTTATTACACAGTGTATGATATAAAAACACTTGATTGAGGGTAAAAATATCTTTTGTGGGCAGCTATTGAGGAAAAAACATTCTGTAGCAATCATTCAATGTTTTATAATGAAAAGTTGTATTTTTCTGGAAACAGGATGTTGCTTCTTTCTAATGACTAAAAATTTAACTGCCATGAGCAATGAGTTTTGCAAGGCACTTCTTTAGAATATAATACTATTCAGTTCCTGTTCACGTAACAAGTTTTACACAATATTATGTTGCTGATAACACTAACTACTTAGGAAAGCTAGTAAAACCATGATCCTTCCTGTTTAACTCAGAAAACTTGAATACGTAGGGTAAGAGAGAAGGATTTGACAACTATGGCCCGAAGTCAGGCAAACTTTACTCATGTGAGTTATCCTTTTTCATACAAGTAACTCGTCAACCACAGTACTCTTCAAATTTCTGCATTACCATTCTTTACCATATAGTAGTGATGATCTATCTTATCAAAACTTGGTTAATAAAGTGCCTAAACAGTGAGCCAAAATCTGGCTTTGATCTATGCATACCACTATGGTAGAAATCCACAGTTAGGAGAGGACTACAAAGCAGTATTTTTCACTTCCCTCTGAGCTTACAGACAAGTCACTATGCTGGTCATTAGGGTCACTGGCTCTCAGTACTACAGGAGTGTCATAAGCAAACCTTATACAGCATGAAGCACTACCAATAATTTGCATCTTTTATTCTATATACCACCATGTCTGTCTACAGTCCAATAAATTCTCCTTTGCTTCCGCATTCTCGCAGGAATAATTAGCTCAAAGAGATGAGTCTGGACAGAGGGCTAGGATAAGCAAGCCATCATATCAGATAAGGATCTGGCCTTTAGGGCATCTTTGCACCCCAAAAGCGGGGGAGGGAATTCTAATTACTGTGGCTCTCAGGAGCCACTCTAATCAACGCGCCCACAGTATCTTGTATATTCAGTGTCCCGTGCTTCAAAATAGCAGCGGGGGCACCTTAACTAAAACTCGTTTGATGATCTTTAGTTAAAGTGCCCCATTTTGAAATGCAGGGATGCTGAATACCCGGGATGCCGAGGCTGCTAGAGTGATTAAGTGAGTTTGCTCTGTCTTGTTCAAATTAGAACGCATTGGAGCAGGGGTTGGACACACGTATAGGATCCATGCCTGAGCTTCTATCTTACTGCAGCCAATGACCAGAATGTCACTTTACCTTTCTGTACCTCAGTTTCTCTCTCCATAAAATAGCAACGATGAAGCTCATACACTCCTACAGGAAAGCACTTTGAGATCTTTGAATGAATTATGTCAATGTGCCAGCTCTTTCTTGGAAGCAGGTATTTGTAGCAAAAATATACACATACATAAGTGTATGTGCAGATGTCATATCCTGCTTGTGTGTGGAGCCAGTGCTGTAAAAGTTCTTAATCAGTCATTTTGTGTGTATGTTAATTTGCTTCCCTAACATATTTAGAATGAAGTCAATTCAAACAGCATCCTTTCTGTGCCTAGGACTATGTTTTAAAAAAGATTTTATTTTGAATAATGTTATCTAAAAGAATACAATTAATAGTCACTATATTTTCCCATCAGAATCAGTTGCATAGCAGAGGTATTGCAGTTCCACACCACTGATGCCCACAGACAAAACGTGAAGGAACACACTTTCCTGTATTGTTTTGCATTGCATGACAGGAATGAAAACACAACTATGTGTGGCAGGTTTTCCCAGAATAATGCAATTTCCATTCCCATTTAAATGCATTGTCATGGTTAATAGTATGTTTGCATTTGCTGCTGATATATAGCAAACATGGTGACAATCCCCAAAGGAAGTAAGTATTCACAGCCTGCAGTACTTATCACCCTAAGTATACAGTCATGCATGAAGTACTATAGTGACCAGGTCCAAAGTAAATATCCCTTCAGCAGCTGTTTAGCAATGTATATTATGATGTAGGCGGCTAACTGGCAGCCATTCAGGTTTTGGGATGTGGCTTTAAGTATGTTATCTGTATTGACATGCTGTTCTCTACAATTCAACTCTTCTGATTGTGGCATGCCACAAAAACTTTGGTTAAAGTCTTAACAACATGAGCATCAGGAGAATATTTATTTTCCAAACAGCAGACTGGACAGTCTTTGTTTCTTCAGGCTCCATTATTATAATTTTTATCCATTAATACATTAATTAACCACATAATATTATTTAATACATTAAAAGTGTTTGTTCTCTTACTATTTGTTGTTCAGTCTCTCTAAAATGAGAGTGTATGTGCTCTAGTATTTCAGAGATTTATCAATGTTTAAGGTAATCTGAAGGACACATTTAGCCTAACGTTGCCTCATGAAGATGTTTGTTGCAAATCATTAATGCTGAGAAATCCTTCTGTGCAATGCTTACTCTTTTCTTTTAAGGGGCAGGGAATTTGCTATCTAAACAATGAGCTACTTAAAAGATGCTTATTTTTGTCCTAGTATCCAATCCAACCTCATTTAGGTCTTGATTAATGTACAGAGCTATAAACATTTTCCTGTGGTAGGAGGTGTAAGTCAGAGGAATAATTCCAGCGGGTGGGTTGGTGGAATGTAGGACCCAGAACAGCTCAAGTTTCAAAAGCTGAAGCTTCAAGTTAGAAGAGGATTACAAAATACATGCTCATTTTAAGAGTATGAGGAAGAGACCTAACAACTGGAGAAATGTGCCTTGCTTTGGAGCAGAATAAAGATCATAAGGTTTGGAGTCATCCATCAGGAAGCAGGATTCTGAAGAATGAGTGAGCAGTCTCGGCAACAATCTCCTGTTATGTCTCTTAAACTTTTTTGTACTTCTGAAACTAGCGGTGTGAATTCAAAAGGGCAAGTCACTTCATTTTTGCTCATTATCCCAATAGTAACTGATAGAAACACATGAACACCCATCTGTCTAGTCAAAAACATCTTACCAATTGTAAAACTTTAAACAAAAGAAACATTAAGCTTTGTAAAAAATTTTCCCCAAAAATGGATATTTAATATGCTTGTTCTCCTTCACTGATTGTGCACAGTTGTCACAGCAAATTACATTTAAATTACTCACTTGCGAGAAAGGAAACCCCCACAAAGTTCTTGGAGATAGGGTGGGGTCACAGTTGCAGGGTAGCTGCACCACTGTCTGTCTTGGAAAGTCTCACCAGGTGTGCCCCCCCAAGGATTCAGGTTTTGGGATTTTACCCCTCTCAGGGTAGAATTCTATAATTTACTCACTCTTAGATCAGGACCTGGAGTATAGGCACTGATGGGCCTCTCATGGCTAATTCAGCAAGTCCCAGTAAAGGTGCAAAGGTTTTCACCCCAGCAGCCTGTGATAACATGCATTTGCACTGATGTATAAATAACTTATTTTAAATCAAGTATGATTTATTTTCCCAAGAGTCAGACAGTAGGGCCATGTGAAGCTTCAGTTCCTGATTTGATTTGGCAGAGATTTGGCTCAATTCGGTGGCCATATCTGAATCAAATCAGAGAACCCTTTAATCTCTCTGAATTGAATTGAAACCCTCTGAATTGATTCGGAGAGATTCGGACAGATTTGGTGATTTCGACGTAGAGACAGCTTTAAATGTTTTTTCTACAAACCTCTAGGTACCAGGCGGCTCGTGAGTGCTGCCATGCTGGGAGAGTCCCACAGAAGCGTGGGGGGCTCCCCAGCATGCTTGGCAGCAGACCCGGAAGTGCGCTGGGGTCCACCCTGCATGCCCTCCTGGCTCGGCGACTGGTGCTTCCTGGGTCTGGGGGGGACACCCAGGGTCCCCCTGAGGCCAATCGCCGAGCCAGGGGAGTGCAGGGGGGCCCCCCAGCATGCTCCCCAGCAGACCTGGAAGTACCTCTGGTCCACTTCTGGGTCCACCACCGAGCACATGGAGGGCCCCCCTGCATTCCTGTGGGACGCTCCATGTGCCCCAGCATCTCAGCAATCATAAGCCATGCTGGTACCTCAAGGTATGTAGAAAAAAACATTTAAAACTGTGTCTATGTCCGAATCACTGATTCTCCGTATCAGCATCGCAGCTTCAGACTTGGATTTGGCTGAATTGAATCAGGGACAGTGATACAAATCAACAAATTGAATCACTGTCCCTGATTCAGGCTGAATCCAAATCAAATAGGGACCGCTTTGCACACCCCTATCAGACAGTGCTTGAGTAAGTGGTTTTAAAATAACAACAAGGCCTACACTTATATACAGCCTATCCTCTCTGTCTTTTGCTCAGGACAGTTTAACTCAAGGGTTTCAAACACACTTTGGGTGCCTGTAGATGTGTAATTACAGTGCGGCAAAGCAAACTGGATTAATCAAGTCTGCTGGAGCATGTTAATTAGCGCACTCCAGCCAACCTCCATGTCATGTGTATCAGAGTCTCTGTGCTTCAAAACGGCGCAGGGGTGCTCTAACTCATCGAACAAGCTTTAGTTAAATCATCCCTGCCACCATTTTGAAGCACAGGGATGCTGATACACAAGATGCTGCAGGCGCTTTAAGTAGAGTGGCTCTAATTAAAACATTCCCCCACTCCCCTGAGCACTTGTAAAAGTACACTTTGTGCCCTGGACTGGATCCAGCCTTGGGCCTGAGGAAGCTGAAGCAGTGACAGCCACTCCAGCTTGGAACTAGAGAGTGTGGTGGCAATAGTGGCAGATTTGGCTCTGACCTAAGTCATATAGCAGTGGCTTCAGCCACGACTGTATATGCCCTTTGCTGAAGCAAGAACTGGATCTGCTGCTGTTGTCACAGTGGTGGCACCTCCAGCTCCAACTCAGAGTACACAGTGGCAGCATCTCTGGCTCCCACCTGGGGCCCTGCTGCACGCCCAATGCCAAAACCATGCCCTTGGAGGTGGGTAGCTGTACCCTGTGCAGCTCTAGCTCCAGGTCCAGCAGCGGGCATGTGGCAGGAACCAGTGGCCGGGGAAGTAGGGTTGCAGCAGTGCAGATGGGCAAAGCAGCTGGAGGGTGACTGGGGTGTGTCAGCCCTGCTGCTAATCACTATGTCCACTAGGGCCTGAGAGCCTTGGATTCTGTGGCTTGTCACTCCCCCTGGGCATGTTGGTAATCCAGTCAGCAAGATAGAGTGGCTTCATGGGCCAGAACCAGCCTGGGGGTCATATGTTTGACACTCCTAGTCTAACTTATTGCCAGTCTGAATTGGGAGGAAGAGCCTGCACTGCTTGCAGCAGGTTCATCTCATCTCTGCCTAGGTCTGAATGGCTTGTTAGCCTCTTCCAAGTTAATCTAAGCTATCATCTGTTCCTAATGCACACCTCTATGTGCATCTCTGAGCCAGGTATGCCTTCAGGAGGACAGGCAATATACATTTGAAAAGGGCAATAGAGTTATATATAACATTTATAAAATACAGATATTTTCCTAGTTTGTCCCAAAAGGTATGAAAGAAACAAATGATGATATACAGACAAGGGGTCAGAGTAGGGGCTGGAGGGGGTTGGGTGTGTGCATGTGGGGAGAGAGAGAGAGAGAGAAAGAGAAAGAGAGAGAGAGAGGCAGAAATTCATCCTCTGAATGGACAGTCACTGAACATTAAGAAAAGGGAACAGAACAGAGTTTGAGAGAGATTTTTATCACAATTTATTAATCACACTATAGGAGAGAAGTTACATAACTTCCTCTTCTCTTTCATACACTCTTCACTTACCCTAGAAAGAACCAATAGCAGACATTATTGACCACAGTGGGCACATCTACATGTTCATTAATGTGCCTTAAATACTTTGCATTTAGTTTAGTACTTCCTTAATGAAGTAAATACAGTTAACTACAGTTACTGTGCAGTAGCGCCAGCACACAGTTATTTTGTGATGCTTACTGAGCATTAGCCTAATAACACTGCACAGTAGGCTATTAGCATGGTTTTTAACCACCACACTACTTCACAGTGTTATTAGGCTAATGCATAGTAAGCGTCTCGTGTAGATGTGCCCAGTCAGTAGCTTCAGGTTTCTAGGTCAATTAAGCACAGAACTAAAAGCCAGCTATGAAATTCAGATCCGGATTAGAACTTCAGGAGTGTTTGTGGCTGTTTGGATTTGCAGTTTTGATTTACATGTACCTCTCTTTGACAGTATAATCTAGTCTTGTATGGACTCACAATGCACATGGCTGGATTGGGTTGGTGCACAGGATCACACCCATGGACCAACCCCACATGGCAGAAGGTTGAGCACCATTGTTAGAATATGTACTTCATGGATAGTGTTCACTTAGCTTTATGTTTAACACTGGAAAGAACACTCTACATGAGTACGAACTAGTATAACAGCAGCATCAAGGCAACCTTTTCATTGTAGACAATGAGAAATTATCTTTTCGGTCCTTGATTCATACCAATGACTGGATTGGTCGCATTCAAGGATGGGAGGAATCATTATCTTTTCATTCTCCCAAAAGGGAGAGACACAAAGAAGAGAGAAAATAGAAGAGATGCCCTGTGTCTCCCGTATTTCCTTTGTTTCTAATATACTCCTTACTATTTGCATTCTTTGTTCTTGTTCTTTCCATAATCTTTTTACCTTCCTTAACCAAAAAACAAATATAGACAAAGTGGGATGAAGGGTGAACATCTGGTAAAGTTTACTCATCTTTTCACTTGACACCATCAGATAAGACTTGATGCACACTGGTGCAGTTGTTTAGGAAATTCCCACTAGTCCTGCTCTGTGGATAGGCAGGGAATTTTTGTCTTTGGGACAGTCATGCTAGTCTTTTCCACATGAGTTACATTACTGTCACCAAAAGAACAGCAGCACAAAATAAAGGATAAAGTTGAAAAAAAAATCCCAACCAACCAAACCCTTGGAAAATGCCAGCTAAGGACAAAGAGGAGAACATGCCCCTTAAATGGTACCCTTACTAGTGCAGCCATGAGAAACATCCCAGAGACATCTCAACCACAGGAAGAATGCTGTAGGACTTTATATGGAGCAGACATTGCTGTTCATCTAAGAGGGAACAATACCTCCATTCCCCATATGCATGTGGGCTTGTAATGAGCTCAGATCAGGGCCCAGGCCCAGTCAGTCTAAACTGGCCAATAAGAGTGATCAGCCCCCTGAGGCCACAAGAAACAGGGCCCACTTGCCCCAGCCTTTGAAAGCTGGCCACAGCCAGCAGTATACTGTCTGGAAAAAACTATGGTGCCTGCTCCTGACCCTTTTGTAGTTCCTTTGACTTACTTATTGTAAATTAGCTTTTGTTCCCTGATGCACCCTGACTTGGGGTCTGACCCCCAGCTCTCCATGGACCCAAGCTCCTGGACTTCACCCAGTTGCCATATGACCTTCCCTGGATGCCAACACCCCAGTCCCTAACAGTGATAAGCAAATGGTCATGCCTCACATTTCACAGACCAAGGTATAATGCATTTAATACATCCATTCTCCTCCGCAAACAGCAATGAAGCTTAGAAAACATGGGTAGCAAAGACTTAAGCAGTTGCACTATCACATCCACCAGTAAACAGATAAAGTTTCTCACATGATGTCTTTTAAGGCTCCATCCAAACCAGTTAGGAAAATAAGCTAGGTAATGGAATTTTTACCATATTCCTTGGTTGAATATTCCACAGCGAAAAGATTTTCCTTAATATTCAATATCAAAAAGCGTTTTCTTAATATTCAGTTTAGATATTCCTGCATATTACCACTTGCTAAATAATGCCTTTTCTTCCTCCTCTTTATTCTCCTCAGTGATTTATGGACTCCTAAGATCCTCTCTCATCCCTGTAACAACAAAGTAGACAAGAAACCAGAATATGGTCTCACTTACGTTAGCCTAAATCAAAAGTAACTCTGTTGACCTCAGGGGTATTATTCTGGGTTTGAATTGGTTTGTCTGAAAGAGGAAATGGGCCTACTATATAAATATATTTCACTCTTTTAATCTTTCCCCATAACTGGCCCTTTGAGATCACTAAGAAATGTTTCTCTACATTTCACGATGAGGTGCTGAGTATTCAATGCAGTACAAACCAGTGTGCCACAGAGAGGGACCTGACATAATGACAACATATGCAGCCCAAAGCTAAGCTGGTCATTGTTGTTGAACTATGGCATTGTGAACTCATAGTTTTTCTGACAATTTTCTGAAAGTCTGTTCCAGCATTACTGTTTTCTAGGTTTCTCTGTCATTGCTAAATGGTACCTCAGTTTAGTATTCACCAACTTCACTGGAAGTCCATTTTATTTCACATCAGTAACATTGCCCCAGCTCACAACATAATCATCCTAGTTCAACGGGAAGAGGATTCAGGTTAACAATGATCACTGACTGACCTATCTCAGGATGAAGGACCCAGGGAGTTGCATAAGCATGTATAACACAGGATTTGGACATGAGATGATAAACAATGCAGTAAGGAGCCCTGCAAATTCTTAGCTGTTTCTAAATATTATTTCAAAATATTTACTTAATGATCATCTTTAATGTTCATTATTTCAGGAGCAATCACTTCTACTAGTCACATAGTCAACCAGTTTTGTTTGCCTTTTTTCTACTCATGGTTTGAAAAGCCCTAAACTGGATAAAGAAAACAATAAAAGACCCCCTGTAGTTTAAACTATTTATGTGTACAGAGGCCAGCCTTGTTTGTCCCAGGTTGCATGTGCAAATGTTCAATCCATGTTGTAAACCAAATGGCCTGCTGAAAAAAGACAAGGTTTCTTTCCCTGTAAAAAAACAATCCCATTTCCTTCTTTCATTTCCAAAGAACTTTACTTTGATTTTAGGTGTATTGATTTCTAAGCTATTTGTGTTGCTATTGAAAGGCATCTAATTATCTTTGAAGACCTATTTGAGATTGGGACAGAATTAATGCATCATCTACATATAGCAAGTGAGAGAGATGGTCATTCAAATGGGTGCATGGAATTGATTCCCTGTTAGAACCTGTTTTAAATCATTCAAGAATAAGTTCAAAAGTAGCTGAGCAAGCAAACATCCTTGCTATACCCCTGCCCCTGGACTGGGCACTGCCAATCCCATAACATACTCCTGAAGTTATGTTTGAATAGTAAGTGATAATTAATTGTAGGAGAGCTTTGTTTACTGATGTTGCCAGTTTCTTCCATAATTTTAATCTGTCTATGGAGTCTGTCTTGAGAGCTACAAAGGCTACATACAGATGATTTTGTCTTTTAACTTATTTAGATGCTAGATAATAGAATGCCAAACAATGGTCCATTTAGGAATAGCCTTCTCTAAAACCAGCCTGCTCTTCTTCCAAAATATTGTCAGAGATGCATGTCTGAAGGTGAAAAAATAAAAGTCTCCCAAGTGTTTTGGCAGGAGTACACATAAGGTTAATGGGAGAATAAAACAAGGGATCTCTCATTACCATTTTTAAAAACTGGGATTATGTTTTCATTCAAAAACTTTGGATAAATACCTTCTAAAATGATTGCATTAAAATTTTTGGTCAGAATTTGGTACTACCAAGCAATGAATTCCTTGAAGATTTCTGGGGAGATAAAATCAAGGCTGGGGACTTTTCATTTCTCAGTAACGATATATATGATCTTACTTGAGATAATGATCTACTTGTTGCTTAACGGATAAAATTTCCTCCAACAAGAAGCTTCCATTTTCTTCATCTGTAGATAAACTATAATCTTGTTTTTAAAAAACAAGACCCGTGTATCTTCAAGGAATTATGTTAAATATTTTTGTCCTTCTGGCACTAATTTGCCCAAAATGTCAAGTATTGTTATTTTCCCTGCAGCTACCAGTTCCTCTCATAGATTAATTTGATATATTTTTTTTCTTATCTATTTTTTTAGTCTTCTTAAATTTTCTTGATTCATGGAAAGGTAATGCAGTCATTTTTAGACTTGTATTCCTCTGAAGAATCTCTTAAATCATCTTTAGCTTGAGAACAGTCCTCACCAGGGTTTGTGCCTCCAACAGCACTTTTTCCCAGCAAAGGTACTCTCTTTTGTGAGGGCGCTTTCTAACTGTTAGACAATTGCTTCATACTGTGTAATTCTTCTCTGAGGATCGTCACTTTGTTGTAGTGGAGAGGCTTGCATGCTCCAATGACCCCAAGAGTGATGCCGTCTGGAGCTCATGCTCCTGGTAGGGCCACCCATGGCGGCAAGGTCAAGGGGGAGGTTCCAGACAAAGAATGATTCAAAAAGTCCTCAATGGTGGAGCAGGAAGAGGAAGGCTGTGGCCCCAATGGTTGTGAAGGCAAAGGAAGTCAGCAATGGAGAAGTGGCCCCAGTCATTGTGGTTTGCCATGCCACTGAACCCGGCCATCAACCACCAAGACCATGTGGGCCCGACTGTGCACCGGAGTCCCCATGCTAAACGTGCCACACGCAGGCTGCTGTCAGGTCCAAAAGCCCTGTGGCGATGAAGGATTGGCAATGGGGGAAGGGCTGTGATACCTGGAGGCCCCCAGCCAAGGACCTACACACAGGTGGCGGATGCGTGATGGTTGTCGGGCACCTGTGTTGGGACAGGAGTGCCCTTCGGCAGCTGCATCTGTGACTGAGCAGTCCTTTTTAAGATACCCTCTGCTCATCCCAATGGGGAGGGGGCTAGAAAAGGTGTCCCAAAAATAGGCTGTCCCATTTCTCCTGGCTAGGAAACCACACCTAGTGGGATCACCATTCCTGCAGTTGAAATAAGAAAAAGCTAAACATCGTAACCTGGAATGTGAGAAAGCTCATCAATAACCCAAAGAGCAATTGCCTGGAAAAACAAACTGCCATCATGGTTCAGGAGCTAGTGAGGCACAACATTGACATTGCTGCTCTCAGCAAAACCCGGCTCACTGGGGAGAGACAGCTGAGGGAGGTCAGCAGAGGGTACAACTCCTTCTGGAAAGGGAAACCACACCACGACACTTGTATCCATGGAGTCAGTTTTGCCATCAGGAACAAGATCACTGACGTACTCCCCAACCTCCCTTTGGGTGTCAGTGAAAGGCTGATGACGCTTTGTCTGCACCTCAGCCAAAACCAGGGCGCCACTGTCATGACCGCATCCTGTCCAACTCTGGATTCTGATGATGAAGTCAAGGAAAGGTTCTACTCCGATCTTGACAATGCCCTTGCCTCCATCCCCAGGGACAGCAAGGACATTCTCCTGGGTAACTTCAACATTCAGGTTGGATGTGACCACAAAATCTGGAGCAGCACTATCGGCAAGAATGGCATAGGGAAGGCCAATGCCAACAGTATCCTGCTCCTGGCCAAAAGCACCGATCCCAACCTGATCATGATGAACACCGTCTTCTGCCAGAAAGACTGGCTCAAGATCATGTGGAGTCATATGAGGTCAGAGCACTGGCACCTCTTAAACTACATCATCATCCGAGGTAGAGACCTGAGGAACCTACTTGTCACAAGGGCCAGGAAGAGATCTGAAGACTGCTGGACAGATCACTGACTTGTGTGCTCAGTGATGAACATCCGCCTGATGCCAAGACACTGGAAGACCCAGAAGGCCACCCAGAAATGGCTGAATGTCACAGCTCTGAAGGACCTTGGACACCAGAAGTAGTTCCAGGCCCAGTTGTATAGTGCACTAAAGCAAGTCCCTACTGCTGATGACATCTCCACCCAGGCACACTGGGAGCAACTCAAGTCCACTGTCCAAAACATGTGTGCCCAGACTATTGGGTTCGCATCGAAATGGAACCAGGACTGGTTTGACGCCAATGACACGCAGATTCGTGATCTCCTTGAGCAAAAGTGTGTAGTCTTCATTGGCTGGCAAAGCCATCCATAAACTTAGCAAAAGATGGCAGTGTACCACCAGCTGAAGGCTCAGGTCCAGCAACGCATCCGTAACATGAAGAACAATTGGTGCGTGGAGAAGGTGCACATGATCCACCATGACACATATAACTTCTTCCAGGCTACCAAGACAACCTACAGACCCTGCTCCATTGGACAAAACCCCCTCCAATCACAGGACAGCTCCTCAAGGATGATGATGCCATTTGTCTGCGTTGGAAGGAGCATTTTGAGCTCCTTCTTACCCTGGAGTCCATTGTATCAGAGGAGACCCTCCAAGTCATCCCGTGTACGCCCTGTGGTGGATTCCTTTGCTGATCCACCAACTGTCAGAGAGCTGAAATGGGCCATCCAACAGATGAAAACCAACAAAGCCTGTGGGCCAGATGGCATACCCACAGAGGTCTATCTTGCTGGTGGCTTCTGGCTCCCATCATGACTCCACTAGTTTATCCTCCACCTTTGGGACATCCTCAGGGATCTCAAGAATGCAACCATCATGACCATCTACAAGAAGTGGGGAAAATCTGGCTGTGGGAACTACAGGTGGATTTCCCTGTCCATTATGGGTAAGATCCTGGCCTGCATCCTCCTGAATCACCTTCATCCTGTTGCCAAGGAGATCCTTCTGGAAATCCAGTGAGGCTTCTGACCATCTCAGGGCAGTGCAGACATAGTTTTCATTGCCAGGCAGATTCAAGAAAAATGTCAGGAGCAAAATCAAGAACTATTCCTCACCTTCATTGACCTGACCAATCTATGAATCTATGAAAGGTGTTTGATTCCTTAAATTGTGAAGCTCTGTGGACCATCCTCCAATGCCTTGGCTGCCTGCTGAAGTCCGTCACCATGCTGAGGCTCCTGAATGATGATATGACTGCCACTGTGCTGAGTGGAAGATCGGAAACCAATATCTTCTGCATCTGGGCCAGGGTCAAACAAGGTTGCTTGTTTTCCCCCACCCTGTTCACCATCTACTTGATCATCTTCATCCACCTCATCTGAGATGATCTACCATCCGGCATCAGTATCCAGTATTGGACTGGATGAGAAGCTTTTCAATCTTGGGTGCTTCTGGGCAAAAATGGAACCACCAAGAAACTTACCACCAAGGACATCCACAACCTTCAGTTTGTGGACAATTGCTGTGTGATGGCTCACTCTGCACAGGATATGCAAGCAACCTTAGATCTCTTCAACACTTGTATAAAAGACTTGGCCAGTCACTGAATGCCACCAAGATGAACGTTCTCCACCAACTCTCCCCAGGCCAGCTGAACATCCCTCGTGCTATCTACATAGACATGGAGGCTCTGAAATATGTGGAGCACTTTCTGTATCTCAGCAGCCACCTCACTCAACAGGCCACCATCAATGAAAAAGTCCAGCAGCGAGTCAACTGTGCCAATACCATCTTCTTCAAGCTGCGACAATGTGTCTTCAAAAATAGAGACCTTCGGAAGTTGACAAAGGTCCTGGTTTACAAGGCTGTTGTGCTGGCCACTCTCCTCTACTGCCGTGAAATATGGATTGTCTCCCAACACCACACTATGACTCTCAAGAGCTTTCACCAGCGGTGCTTGTGTCAAATCCTGGGGATCAAACAGGAGGATTGCCAGATCAGTGCAAGCATCCTCCATAAAGCTACATCCACCAGCATCGAAGCCTTGCTCTTAAGAAATCAACTCTGGTGAACAGGCCACTGTGTCCAGATGTCCGAGAGCCACCTCCCTTGCCAGATTCTCTTTTCCCAGCTCTCCATTGGCCAATGCTCAAAGGGCGGCCAAATGAAATGGTACAAAGACACACTCAAGGTCGCCCTCAAGCTGGGAGGAGCAAGCTGCTAACTGTTCGGTGTGGCACCACCTGGTCCCCCAAGGCGTGCACCATTTTGAGGCCCAATGACTCGATACTGAGGCAGAACAGTGGCAGAGGAAGGAGAAGAAAACCAACCCGGGGCTGCAAATCCCACTCCCTCGCACAACAACATGCCCCCATTAGTGAAGAATGTGTGTATTCAGAATCAGGCTCCTCAGTCACCTGAGGACCCATCAAGCCTGATGGACGTCATCCTCGACTTTGAGGGACTGCCAATGATTGTGTAATTGCTTCCTTGGATTCTTGATCTGGGAAGGTGTCTTTGGAGAGGGCAACTCATTTATCTTGTAACTCATTATTCCATTGAATTCTCTTTTTATCGACTACTACTAATTTAGGACTAATTGTACAGTTTTTTGGGAAGGGCTCCCCATAAAATTCTAATGGGATTTTTAGTGAGAGAAGGAAATGGTCACTTTCCACCTGTGGTAGAATTTCAGATGATTTATACTTGTACCACATATGTGATTTTATTAATATATAATGTATATGTAAATACCCTGGTACATCTTTGCCAGTTCGCCCATTGAACATTCTCAAATTTAGCAAAGACAAATGTAGGGTGCTACACACATGGTGCATCTACACATACATTTGATCCAAGATCAGTTTACTTGTGAGTAAACTACTCATGAGTAAACACTTCCAGGCAGACGTCTATACATGCAAGGATGTAAGAGCAGAGAACAGCTGTCTCTTGGCCAGGGCTGAGACATTGCTGCCTCAGGGTACAATGTCTCCCTTCCCCGGCAGCAAGAAGCTCCCAGCCCTGGCTCCCTGATGGGAGCAGGGGACTTGGAAAGAGCTGCAGGGAAGGGGAAGCTCCGAGCCCCCTGCCCCAATCCACTGGTGGGGCAGCTAGCAGTGAGTCCCTGGCTAGGCGGGGCTTGCCCCACTGGTGGAGCAGGGCAAGAGGCTGGGACATGCCATGCTCCTGCAGCTCTTTCCAAGTCCCATGCCTCGATTGTCCAATCAGGGTATGGAGTTGGGACCTGCCCTGGACCGGAACAGTTCCCAGCTCCCACTCCATGATTGCAGGGTGGGGCTTGGAGAGTCTCTTTCCTGCTCAGCTCCATGAGTGCAGAGCTGAGCAGGGAACAAGCTCCCCAGCCGTTCCCTACCCAGCTCTGCAATCACAGAGCTGGGTGGGAAACAGGCTCCCAAATCCCCACCAGCAGGGAGCTGCCAGAGTCAGCTCTCTGACTGCAGAGCTCAGCCTGGGAGATCTTTCTCTCTCAGTGCTGGCCCTGTTATTGCAGAGCTGAGATAAAGATCTCCCAGCCCCAGCTCCCCAATCCCCATCCCAGAACAGGGGCTTGGAGTTCCCTGCTGCTGGGGCAGGGGAACATAGTACCTGCCCATGCTCCGGTGGCAAAGCCCACCCCAGCAGCAGGTAGCGAATTTACTCACAATTACCTAGGCTTACTGCACAGTAAGCATGTGCACATATAGATGCACATGCTTACTGTGCAGTAAACTATGCTACTTCACAGTAAAGCATGTAGTGTAGATGCTCCCACAGTGAAGAAAACCTAATA